TGAGGTCAGCGAGAGAGTGGAAAATAGTACGGCTCCACTGTCTCAGTATCTGTGAAAGGAACAGCAAGAACATCTCCCATTGTTCTTCATACACTCCCCAACTAAAATAGTCTCATTGCTAACCAATGAACTGAGGCCTAGCACAGGTATGGTTTACATCTTGCTAGTGGAATAAAGTGCTATTTTATGTGAGTGACGGCTCATCATGACAGCTTATGAGCAATATGGGATCGCGGGTGCTCGTCATGCTACCCTGCATTGAGAGATCATGACAACTGCTCAGGAGTTGGTCCTCAGAAGTAATGGCATACCCATAGCAGGCAAAAACACAAGCTGCACTGAAATAACCTTCCTTACTATTATTCAATTTTTTATTTTATTTTACTTTGTTCCTCTACTATCAATCATAAATATTCTATCGTTATAACTTTTATACAGACTCAACACGCTGGACAACCAGTGCAGTCGCAGCACCACCGCCGTTGCAAATAGCAGCAACTCCATACTCACCAGGCTTAAGCTGATGTAGCAGGGTTGTCAAGATTCGTGAACCAGAGCTGCCAAGAGCATGGCCCAGTGAGATAGCACCACCCAGAGGGTTAACCTTGGCCCCCTCAAGACCCAGAATCTTAGAGTTGGCCAGGATCACACTGGCGAAAGCCTCGTTAAACTCCCAGATGGCAACCTGGTCCTTGGTGATACCGGCACGCTCGAGAGCAATGGGGACAGCCTTGGCGGGAGCGATAGGGAAGTCAATGGGAGAAGTGGCAGCATCAGCGTAACCGCAGATCTTGGCCAAGACACGGGAGCCAGAGCCGTACTGTTGGGCAATGGCCTTGCTGCCCAGAACAAGAGCACTAGCACCATCGTTCAGAGTCGATGAGTTGGCGGCGGTGACAGTGCCGCTTCCGTCACGAACGAAAGCAGGCTTGAGGGTAGGGATCTTATCGAACTTGACCTCGTTGAATCCCTCGTCGGTGTCGATAACAGTCTCGCCCTTTCGTGACTTGACGGTGACGGGGGCGATCTCGTCAGCAAAGGCTTTGTCGGCCCAAGCCTTTTGCGCATTGCGGTATGACTGGATAGCGTACTCGTCCTGCTGCTCTCGGGTAATCTTGTAGTTCTTGACAGTGTTCTCAGCGCAGTTGCCCATGTGGAATTGATCGTAGACATCAGTCAGACCGTCCTTAATAAGACCATCCTCCATCTTAACATGGCCAAAGGCGGGAAGACCACTGGCGCGGGGCACGTAGTATGGGACCTGGGACATGTTCTCCATTCCACCGGCGATCTGAGCCTCAGAGAGACCCAGCTGAATGTTCTGAGCAGCCAGAGCGACGGCCTTGAGTCCAGAGGCGCAGACCTTGTTAATAGTGGTAGCCTCGATCTCCTTGGGCAGACCGGCGAAGATGGCGGCCTGTCGAGCAGGCGCTTGGCCAACGGAACCCTGAAGCACATTGCCCATGTATACATCGGTGATCTTCTCGACGGGGACCTTTGACTTTTCCAGGGCCGACTTGATAGCGACAGCGCCGAGCTTAGGAGCCGATACTGACAGGAACGAGCCGTTGAACTAGGAATATGTTAATAATAAGTCGGTACAGGCATCATTCGAATTAAAGGACACTGTACCTTTGCTGTAGGGGTTCGGGCGGCGCTCAGGATATAGGCGTCCTGGATCTCCTTGCGCAAAGCAGGCCGTGTAGAGAACTGTCGCGCGCCATTCACATGTCCAGCAAGCTGAGCCAGCCGGCCAGCGGATCTTAGTTGAGCAGGAGACATTTTGATGTGTATAAGGGGGTATCAAGACGTAGCAGGACAGGCAGAACGGAGGGAAAGAAGAGGATGGGAATGGACTGAAGGAATAAGTAAGAGAAGACGACCTCGGGTATCGTAGTAATATGGCAATATACATCCGCTTCGGTCCTCTTCGGCTTTCAGCGGGGGAGGGCCCGAGGTGGCGGCCACAAGCTCTCCCGTGCCGAGAGCTACAAATCCGGGGGAGTTTTACAGGTGACGTCGAGTCTGGGGTACAAGTTAAGCGGTGACATTGGCTTACAGTCCGAAGTACCTTTTTGTTAGACCTGGGGACGGACTCTTTCCACCGCTGCCTATATCATTATCGTGTAATCCATTTCAATTTGATAGCTTCTCCTTCATCGGAATTAGTTGTCGGTTCCGAAATCCCATGGTCTAGTTGCCAGAGCGGCCTTCGTCCACCGCGACCATGTGAAAGCTCCGGGTAGTGGGGGATGTAAAATAAGCATTTCGACAGTCAACCCTCAGGGAGCAAGAAAGCATCGGGCCTTTCGTATAGGATGTCAAAATAAACTCAGCAAAATGTATCATAAACCTGGGCTATATTCATACCAAGTTACCTAAATCTTTTTATCATTTAGGATCAAGGTCCTGAGTTTTCTTCCCTCCCCTAGCCAGCATACAATTATAAATAACCTTTGTCCAAGAGAGGGTCCTCATTAAGACTACCTATAGTAGAAAGCGGATTCGATGCTTATAAAGCATACCAAACACCTTTCAAATCTTTGCAGGCTCCGAGGATGCCTCGAAGTTATTGCGGCTCGGCCGGGTCACGTGTGGCTTTCTCGGTGAGAAGGTGAGGCCAAACGTTACTGAGTGGACCGCTCACCGTGCATTGATAGGCCAGGCCGATAAGCATGCTTGATTGGTAGAGTGCATCACCCAACTCCTCCGCTGTGGAATCCGAATCATCGACCAGCCTGTCCATGACCAATCTCCATCTCCGCTCATCATCTTGCACCGCCAAATCTTGAGACAGTGAATCGTGCATGCAAATCATTTCGCTTGATAGAAATATTCGTCAGGCATAGCATTCACGCTACGATCTCTCTCTTTCCAACATCATTCAGCTTCTATCCTAACGTCCGTTCTCGCCTTCGGACCCAGTCACTATCATGTCTACCGCTGCTCGTCGCCGTCTCATGCGAGACTTCAAGGTTCGCAATTTTTGACGATCAGCTCTAGATCAAACCTCGCTGACTCTCCCACGATAGCGCATGCAGACCGATCCTCCCGCCGGCGTCTCTGCTTCACCTGTACCAGATAATGTCATGACCTGGTTCGTACGCCCTCGCCGACATCGCCGATCCTGAACACAAATACTCATCATACGTCTTGTAGGAACGCCGTCATCATCGGCCCCGCAGACACTCCCTTTGAAGATGGCACCTTTCGACTTGTGATGCAGTTCGAAGAGCAATATCCCAACAAGCCTCCCCAAGTCAAGTTCATCAGCCAGATGTTCCACCCCAACGTCTACGCCACCGGAGAACTCTGCCTCGACATTCTGCAAAACCGATGGAGTCCTACGTATGATGTCGCCGCTGTCTTGACCAGCATTCAAAGGTGGGCAGCATAAATAGTAGCCGATTAAAGGCGTACGCTGATCTTTCAACAGTTTACTCAACGATCCCAACACCGGTTCACCTGCTAATGTCGAAGCTTCTAACCTATACAAGGACAACCGAAAGGAATACACCAAGCGTGTCAGAGAGACGGTGGAGAAGAGCTGGGAAGACTGAACGGCCAAACTCCAAAAGGACAGAGAACGGTATGCCAACGTGGACCTGTCCAGCAAGGTGACAGATCAGGTTGCTCAAACAATGCAAGTGCTCTGCAGCCCAAAGCTGCAACGCATTTTATGTACATGGCGTTTTGGGGTGCGAGGAGTTTTAACTGACTAAACTGCATTCGAGGCGTTGCAAGCGTCCAGGAAGCCCCGGGAACGTTAGCTTATGATATCACGAGGGTTCATCATGAAGAAGGAGTTCAATGTTTCTTGTAGCGCCTTTGTTTATTGCCCGAGAATGACTCTCAGCGAAGTGAACTACGTACCCTGCCTTAGGCTCGCTAATGAAGCCGTATGTGTCAAATGGTGGGGGTGCTTTGTGTGTCCTTGGTTGTCAGGAATGGTGACATGTTTAATGACTCTCTTATCGTTTGGTTTCATATGACACTTGGCCAAAGAACGCCTAAATGCGTGTTCCCGTTGCATGAACTTAATATCCTCCCTTTGTAAAGCACTCGCTGTCATGAGCGGATAATTTGATACAATTTAATGCACTTCATATTGAATGCTTGTGGCTAATGATTGGACCATTTGCCATATTAGGTAGTGTGTTGACTACCTACTGACAGCACCATGATGAACCCGTCGACGCAACAACCCGATACCTGATGACAATGAGCCAAAGACACCGGCAAATCTCCAAATTGCGCCGTCAAGTGAAACATGGCCAAAAATCTGGCCCACAGCTTCAAAGTTCAACGCTCTTTCTGGGCACAATCCCTCCGGGAGGCCTAATCTCCAAGGGGTAAAAAAACCAAAACCTCTAAAGAGTCCCCTAAATTATAGGACACCTACCCCCCTGGAGCAGCCCTCACACTTGAGGTGAGTCCCCGTCTCGGCCCCTCTTGGCGCGCGTCTCTCTGTGTCTGACCTATCACCTTTCAGACCCCGTTCTCCAACAAATGCCCACCGCCTCTGGTTGCCAACAACACACCTGGGCCGTTAGGTTGGCATTCATTTGTTGTTTGTCGTCGATACTTTTTATTGCTGATCGCACGTCAAACCGCACCTAAACAACATTATCGTGCATATTATTCTATATACAACCGTACGCCCTGCCAGCGAATCACGAAACCCTGCTTGTATCTTGGCTCTGCCTTGATCCGCATCCGCGACTCGGCCTTTGTTTAAAGCCATCTCCCTTTATTATCTATCTTATCCTGGTCTCCTCTCTCTTTGTTTGAGGTCCAGTCGTTTCCCCCCTCTCGCCGCCATTTTGTGGCTCATTGCAACAATCTTGCGGCCCGCATCTTCTGCGACCCCCCTCAACCCCCCTGAAGGTTCGCTTCAGAGCAACCAACGATCGAGCCCGACTTTTTCCCCCCTTCTCTCGGGACGACAGCACCGCGGCCGATGATAACGTTTGTTGCGTGACACACAGCCTGCGTTCAACATGTCGTCCGCAAATAGTATCAAGGTCGTGGCCAGGTTTCGACCTCAGAACAAGGTCGAGCTTGAGTCAGGCGGAAAGCCCATCGTATCCTTCGATGGCGAGGATACCTGTACCGTCGCCGTATGTTTTGCCATTTGCGTTGCTTTGCGTTGCGTTACTGTTCACGGCAATATACGGTGAGACCTCACAGCTAACATGTTCGGCAGTCCAAGGAGGCGCAGGGTAGCTTCACCTTTGACCGAGTCTTTGATATGGGATGTAAACAACAAGACATTTTCGACTTTTCGATCCGATCTACCGTCGATGATATTCTCAATGGATACAACGGAACCGTCTTCGCCTACGGCCAGACCGGTGCCGGTAAGTCTTATACCATGATGGGCACAAACATCGACGACGATGAGGGTCGAGGTATTATTCCCCGTATCGTCGAGCAGATCTTTGCCAGCATCATGTCCAGTCCCGGCACCATCGAGTACACGGTCCGCGTCAGTTATATGGAAATCTACATGGAGAGGATTCGAGATCTGCTTGCACCGCAGAACGACAACCTGCCCGTCCACGAAGAGAAGAACCGAGGTGTCTATGTCAAGGGTCTTTTGGAAATCTACGTCTCAAGTGTCCAAGAAGTTTACGAGGTCATGAGGAGAGGAGGAAACGCCCGAGCTGTCGCCGCCACGAACATGAACCAGGAGTCCTCGCGATCCCACTCCATCTTTGTCATCACCATCACACAGAAGAATGTCGAAACCGGTTCAGCGAAAAGCGGACAGCTGTTCCTTGTCGATTTGGCTGGTAGCGAAAAGGTTGGCAAGACCGGTGCCAGTGGACAGACTCTGGAGGAAGCCAAAAAGATCAACAAGAGTTTGAGTGCCCTGGGAATGGTCATCAACGCCTTGACCGATGGCAAATCCTCACATATTCCTTACCGAGACTCCAAGTTGACCCGTATCTTGCAAGAGTCTCTCGGTGGTAACAGTCGGACAACCCTTATCATCAATTGTTCGCCCAGTAGTTACAACGATGCCGAAACATTGGGTACACTAAGATTCGGTATGCGAGCCAAGTCGATCAAGAACAAGGCCAAGGTCAACGCCGAGCTGAGTCCCGCCGAACTCAAATCCCTCCTCAAGAAAGCGCAAGGACAGGTCACGAACTTCGAGAGCTATATCTCCTCCCTCGAGGGCGAGATCCAGATGTGGCGTGCTGGTGAAGCCGTCCCCAAGGAGAGATGGGCCACACCTCTAACTACCGATGCCGTTGCTAGAACCAAGGCTGATGCCAGGACATCGACACGGCCATCTACTCCTTCATTAATATCAGACAGCCGATCAGAAACACCTGCGATATCCGAACGAGCTGGCACTCCCAGCTTACCGCTTGACAAGGACGAGAGGGAAGAGTTCCTACGACGAGAGAACGAACTGCAGGACCAGATCTCGGAGAAGGAGTCTCAAGCTGCGTCGGCCGAGAAGCAGCTGCGAGAGACCAAGGAGGAGCTGGCCTACCTCAAGGATCACGACAGCAAAGTCGGCAAAGAGAACGAGAAGCTCACAACCGAGGTTAACGAATTCAAGATGCAACTGGAGAGGCTCACATTTGAGAGCAAGGAAGCTCAGATCACAATGGACGCCTTGAAGGAGGCTAACTCGGAACTCACCACCGAACTCGACGAGGTGAAGCAGCAGCTTCTCGATGTCAAAATGAGCGCCAAGGAGAGCGGTGCCGCTCTCGACGAGAAGGAGAAGAGGAAGGCCGAGAAGATGGCCAAGATGATGGCTGGCTTCGATTTGGGTGGCGATGTATTTAGCGAGAATGAGCGACATATCGCTGAGACGATCGAGAAGGTCGACTCGCTTCATGATCTCAGCGCGACTGGCGACAACATCGCACCTGATGAGTTTAAGGCGCTCAAGGCTCGATTGGTTGAGACCCAGGGCATTGTTCGACAAGCAGAGCTTTCCATGTACAGCACTTCCTCAAGCGAGTCCGACTCAAGGAGGAGGCAAGAACTTGAAGCCCGTCTTGAGGCTGTCCAGGCCGAGTACGAGGAGATTCTTACCCGTAACTTGGGCCCTGAAGATGTCGAGGAGGTCAAGGCCCGACTTGAGAACGCTTTTGCGAACCGCCAGACTGCTCAGTCGCAGTTTGTCGAAGAGTTGAAGGAGGACATTGCCCAGAAGGCTGCTGAGAACACAAGAATGAAGACCCTTATTGAGGATCTTCAACAGCGTGTCAAGGCGGGCGCCACTGCGCCAATGGCTAACGGCAAGACGATCCAGCAACAGATCGCCGAGTTTGACGTCATGAAGAAGAGTCTCATGCGTGACCTTCAAAACCGATGCGAGCGTGTTGTCGAGCTCGAGATTTCCCTTGATGAGACTCGAGAGCAATATAACAACGTTCTCCGATCGTCCAACAACAGGGCGCAACAGAAGAAGATGGCCTTCCTCGAGAGAAACCTGGAGCAACTCACCCAGGTCCAGCGCCAGTTGGTCGAGCAGAACTCTGCTCTCAAGAAGGAGGTTGCTATCGCTGAGCGCAAGCTGATTGCACGAAACGAGCGTATCCAGAGCCTGGAGAGCCTGCTACAGGATAGTCAGGAGAAGATGGCCGCTGCGAACCACAAGTATGTACCCCTGAATGTAACCCCTCTTCTGATGAACTCCACTAACAAACCACCCAGGTTCGAGGTTCAGCTTGCCGCTGTCAAGGAGCGACTCGAGCTGGCCAAGGCCGGCAGCACTCGCGGTCTTAACTCGCCTGGTGGCTTTAGCTTTGCCAACGCTGGTAGCAGGATCGCCAAGCCTCTTCGAGGAGGCGGCGGCGGCAACGACGCCCCCAGCATTCCCACGATTCAGAACCTTCAGGGCCAGAGCGAAGGCAACACCAGCAGCGGTAGCAGCAGCAAGCGTGCCAGTTGGTTCTTCACAAAGTCATAGACAACATAATGAGGGAATAAAGATAAATAAAAGAAGAAAAGAGCTCGCTGCTTTTTTTGCTTACCTTATGGGCACGGCGTTGCGAGCAAGATCTGTTAGACACAAACATTCCTCCTTTTCATACCCCCCCTTTTTCCATTCAACGATGCCCCCGTTCGACAAAGCTTTCTAAAAGGTTTCTCTTCTTCTCTTCTGCTGCTTTCTACTTTGTCCCCCGATTTCGGTTTTGTCTCTTTTTTTTCTGCTTCTACTATAAGAAGGCGATAGAGGATTGGGCGGCTACGATGATTTGGATTTACGACAGGCATCGCGATGGGACCATGGTAGGACGGATGGGTTGTTACATGGCTGGCGCTCTAGGCGCGAGAGATGGGATGAGATGAGCTGTGATGAGTCGAAGGAGAGATCGAGAGAGAGGATAGGAGATGAGACAAATATCAGCAGCAGCAGTGGAGGAAGCTTGCATGAGTCTTGTCACGACCACATAGCTAAAGGCACGAAGTATAAGAGAGTCAATGAATTGATTGAATTTCTAACAAACATTTTATTTTTATTTCTTATATCAAAGAGCTATAACAGAGTGGTATTCTTGACGGAAGGCTTTACAATCTAAACCGTTTACATGCCTTTGTAGACAAGGACAACAGGCAGTTAACCAAAGGGGATATCATCAAGTGACAAGTCGTAGGTCGAAAGCGCCGATCATTCGTTTACATCTTGATGTCCTGGTTGCCATCACCGTTGTCGGTTCCCATGGCAGCCAGGAGGATGACCTGAGGGATGATAACGGCGAAGATGACACAGAGGGCAGCGAAGGTGACAGCGACGATCTTGACGCTGAGCATGACAATACGGCGCCAGGCAGACTTGGAGAAGCTGGACCAGGCGTCACGAACAGTAGCATAGCCGAGGCCACCGACAACAACGGGCTCGATACGGCCGTTGAAAGAGCGGTCGAAAGGAATGATGGTGTCGGCGTCAGCGGGGAGAAGAGAGGCCTGGACTCGAACGAGCACAACGTAGGCGGGAATCTGGATAGCGACCTGGAGAAGGACAGCGACGAGCAGGATGCCGAAAACGCTGCCGAGACCGTGGAGCTGAGGAATCTCATTGGTCTGGTCGCCGCCAAACAGGTAGAGAACACCGAAGGTGCCAAGATTGACGATCTGAGAGGCAGCCCAGAAGATGAGAGTAGGTCTCCAGGTGGCGGCGAAAGTGGTCTTGAAAGGAGGGAGACGGCTCCAGAACTTGAGAGGAGAAGGAGGCGTGATGACGATGTGGACCCAGGCGGCGCTGAGCTGAACGCAGACGAGAGAACCGATCAAGTTGGACAGAACAAAGGAATAAGGAATGACGGCATAGGTGATGCCGTTGATGAGTGCCGTGACGACAGCTTGGGCGAGGAAGCAGGGCAGACCACGGAAGATGGCGCGGAAACCACCAGTAGATCGGAGTAGGCGCCAGGTAGCTCGGAAAGACGAAGTGACGGGACGGCCATGGCCAGCGATAGGGACAGAGGAAGTAGAAGCGGGCTTGGGCATGTCATCGTTGGCGAGAGGCTCGACGGGGAGAGGTTCGTAAGCGGGAGGTTTCTCATCTTCGACGATGGCGAGAACGGGGAAGACCTTTTCGAAGGTGTAGTTGATCTGAGATGTGTTAGCATATGGACGTGAGTGTCAGTAAGGGTAGTACTCACGAGAACAAAGACGGGGAGGAAGAGGATGAAGTTGGCGAGGAATACGAATCTCGACCAGTCGGGGAGTTGCTGAAGCTCATAGCCAAGATCAGGCTTTGGCATGTTATCGCGCCGCATAAGCAGCGATCCAGCGGAAGACAACATATTGAAAGGTTTACGATATAAGGAAAAGAAGTTTGTTTCGATGAAAGGAAAAATAGAAATGAAGTTGGTGATGAGTATCCTCGTAAGGTGTGATGTTGGATGGAGGAGGGTGGTTTAATGGGCGGTCGAAAAGTGGCTCTGACGGGGGCTTTATCAGTTATGTCCGGGCAGATCGCGCAGTGAAACTAGGCACCAGTACCCCCGATTTAGTGGATGTGGATGGGCTCTGACGGGACAGGGCGTTTACGGTTACAGGGGGTCAACGGGGGGGAGGGGGGCGGGGGGGGGGGGGGGCAAATTGCACAGCCTCAAGGCGAATTGATTGATCTACGTATACTCTGTGCGAACAGCTAATGATGGAAGAATTAAGACATTGGGTATTTTAATAGTTAAGTCTCTTAATCTATGGAAATAGCTATAACAAATGACTGATTTAGCATGATTCGGTTCATGTTCTCACCGTGAAGTCGGTGATTACCGTATTCGGATTGAAGGATCAGACTGAGGTGTGTAGGTAGGACTTTGATGATACCCTTCGTATATACACGTAATCAGCCTCAAACTCATGCCAAACGTAAGCTTTTGATTGGCGCTTCCTCGTCTTTTCAGTCTTCACAAAATATGCAACTTGCTTTTGTGTTGCTTTTGCGAATCTACATTTCTATTCATGCCCCGAGAGTTCCGATGTTTACAAGGCAGATCTAGAGGATTGTGCTTCGCTTCTTGGCGCTGTGATGAGACTGCAGGCTCATGGTTGAGTTTACCTGAAACTGTTTGTGTCGGCGCATGCTATGCTATGCTATGCTATGTTGTTGACTCGGCTATGTCGGCTCGATATATGTATGTATGTACTCATTTATGCCGCATTTATTTACTCTCAAGTCTCTGTTTGTTACTGTCTATCAAGTTCAGTTCCATTGTCAACATGTGAGTTAAATGAGGTGCATGCCCCGCAATCATGACTCTCCCGTTTCTTACAGGGGGCTGGCTGTCCGACGTCACTGGTCACATCCACTGAAAAGCCCCTCTATTCTATTCAACCTCATCAAGCTCTAGCTAGCTCGAGCTTCGTCAGCTCGGAACAACTAAAGCCGCTATAACCTCACTCTGAATACCCTCAGACTAAAGAATGCCCGCCCCCGAGATACCAAATCTCCTAAATTCTCTCCGCAGCGCACGTGGAGGCCGTGGTCGAGGTAGAGGACGAGGAGGTCACGCCTCATCAGCTGTTACTCACGATGCTACCATCCAAGGCACAGATACTGATGCTTCAGTGTCAAGGCTGAGCGCTGTTGATCTGGGGTATCTTTATGATCCGTATGCTCAGTACTTTGTGCAGAGTGGAGATGGACCGGTGGCGAGACGACTCCCTATAATCAATCGAGGTGTGCTAGAAAACATTGTCATGGCCCCCAATATATACTCACACATTTTGTAGGAACATATACCCGCACTATTTCTCTGGACACTCTTATCGAGTCGTTTCTAGACGGCGATCAAGACAGTGAACAAGGCGCAGGACCGAAACAGGTTGTATCTTTGGGGGCTGGTACTGATACAAGACCTTTTCGACTGTTCTTTTCAGAGTCGCGTCCTGGATTGGTCTATCATGAGCTTGACTTTCAAGTTGTCACCTCAAAGAAGTTACGGACTGTACAAGCTACGCCCAAGCTGAGAAATATCTTGAAAGATGCTACTCAATTGACCGAACATTCCTGGTCAGCTAAACCTACTGGGTGCGAATATTACTGCCATGGTCAAGACCTGAGAGGTTTCTCTCACGCCAAAACACCAAAGGAGGAAGATGGCACAGAAACAACGACGAACGAAACCTCTCTCCCTGGTCTACGGACCGATATCCCCACGCTACTTCTCTCAGAGTGCTGTCTCTGCTATCTCACCACCACCGAAGCCTCAGATGTGATCAACTTCTTCAGCTCACGGATACCAAACCTCGGCACAATCATCTACGAACCAATCCGCCCAGACGACGCCTTTGGCAAGATGATGGTGTCGAACCTAGCAGCGCGTCGCATCCAGATGCCCACTCTTCAGATGTACCAGACCCCGGAAGACCAACGAGCGAGAATGAGCAAAGCTGGGTTTGAAAAGGTGTATCATATGACGATTGAGGATATCTGGCAGAATTGGGTGTCGGCGGATGAGAAGCGGCGTGTGGATTCACTGGAGGGGTTGGATGAGGTTGAGGAGTGGAAGCTGTTGGCGGCGCATTACATCGTTGTTTGGGCTTCGAAAGGGGAGGGGTTTGAAAGTTGGGACAGTGTTAGAGGTTGTGCTTGATCTGACGATGTCAATGAATACTTTCAAGTGTTTATGATTGTTTAGGACCCATGTGAAAAGGATCGTGGTCATGCCAGGTCATACAAGCACAGCCGAGGACTTGTCAAGCATATTCAACAATTCAGTTAATTCAGTAGTTATTGAAGCGTGAATGTGTCTTGTCTAGGTATATCAAGATCTGTGTCTGACTATCATGACTTGTCTTAGGCGCAGGAACAACATATTTCCTATTTGAGTTTAGCCTTATTCCTACTGGCCTTCATCCCGACCAAGTCGCTTTCCATCCTCAGGCGAACCAACATCAACCTTTGAATCGCCATTTGAGAATACACATTCATATACAACTTGTTCAACCACTCATAAATCGATTCTCAAATTATTACCCAAGTCGCATACAATATCAATACAAGCAGGATCGGCCCCTTAGATAGTTGACCGTTGTTCTCAGAGCTTCAAGGTATTGCGCCTCTCACACTCCAAACACCCTCTCTCAGTACTACTCCGTACGCTTTAAGCCTTCATTGCTTCACAGAACTAACTCAATATGCAGATAAAAACTTTAGTCTTGGATAAACAGAATATTCAAGTCCTCTCAGGCGCACAACAACAACCCTTGACGTCTCATCTCACAACGCGACAAGATGGCGGATTCAAGAGATAGCAAGTCGTACAAATATCGCCAGGAGATCAGTCAAATGATGTACGTCTCGGGCGAAACCGCAGAACCACCCGTCGAAACAACAAGTATCATCGAAGACATTGTCCGCCAACAGGTCATCGAACTCGTGCGTCTCTCATCCCCTTCACCCACTCATCTCACCTCACCTCACCTCACCTCATACTAAACCCTCTCAGCTCCGAAACTGCACCGAACTCGCTTCGCGTCGCGGTTCAAAATCCATCAGCATCAACGATCTCATCTTCCAAATCCGCCATGACCAAGCAAAAGTCTCTCGTCTGCGCACGTTCCTCTCGTGGAAAGACGTGCGAAAGAACGTAAAGGACTCTGATGACAAGGGCGCTGATGCCGATATCGCCGCTGGTGATGATCCCGTGGCTGCGGGTGATAACACAACAGATGATACAGCCAAGAAGAACAAGAAGGCAAAAGTCGGTTTGCCGTGGGAGCCCTCGTCGTACTACAACGTTGAAGTGCCTGAGCGCGAGGACGAAGAGGATGAAGAGGAGGAGGAGATGAACTACATCACACTGCAGCGTTTGCGCAAAGCTGATGAGCGCACCAAGGCCATGACGAAGGAGGAGTACGTTACATGGTCCGAATACCGTCAAGCATCATTCACCTACCGCAAAGGCAAGCGATTCCGCGAGTGGGCTGGCTTCGGCATCGTCACAGACAGCAAACCCTCCGATGACATTGTCGATATTCTCGGCTTCCTCACCTTCGAGATGGTTCAGACCCTCACCGAGATGGCGCTCAAGGTCAAGGAGCAGGAGGATCTAGTGCGTGCTCAGAACGGAGGCGATAATGCTGGAAATGCGAAGAAGCGGAAGCATGAGGGCGCCTTGTTCGATTTCCCTAGTGAGGGAAAGACGCCAATCGAGCCTCGCCATGTGCAAGAAGGGTCTCGAAGATTGCAGCAAAGGCCAAAGAAGTCGAGGGCCATGCTCAACGGCACCAGAATTGCACAGCATACGCCGCTCAACATCTTCTAGTCATCTATCTATATGTGCAGCGTTCACCAGTTTATTGTACGCTAAGGCGTTGGATTAGGAACATTACCAAGTGTTAGGGTTGGTTAGTGGGAAAGGCGCACGGAAAGGATATTTGGATGTTCATTAAGGTATTACTTGATAGATTGGTGCCAACCACTCGTCGGCTATTTCTACACGTCTTTCGCGACTTCCATGCTGTATCTCCCAACCCTACGCTCGAGACACAGACATCTTGCGTCGTCGAGCAGCTGCAGCATCCTCACAGAGTCGCGTGCCGACTCTTTGTAAACTCATGGGTAATTCCTCCTCACCGTCACTACCAGCCTCCTTCTCATTACCATCTCTCCTATGATTCCGTCTTCTCGTATGGCTTGCACGGATCGTTTGCGTTCGCTGCAGTCCACTGGCTCTACTCTCGACTGTTGGGACCTCCTCTGCCGGAACACCAGTCATGCGGCTATCAGCAGTCGGCATGCGAGACAGAGGCATCCGCGTCAAGTGCTTGCGCTCCCGATAGTTACTAAGAGTAGGAGTCTTTAGTAGACCGCTGCGGAAGTCATTAACTCCAACCAGAATTTTAACAAGCTGCACAAGCTCTTCGAGATATTCGATGATCTCCATCTGTCCAGAAGTGCTCGCGTTCCAAGAGAGAAATCGTTTTTGGGTGATGAGGTATGCGACCTGCGCAGCAAGCTCCCCATTCTCGTCAAAGACACTCGATGACTCCCCAGCCGGTGTCTGAGTGCCACTTTTGGACGCAAGAATCTCGCGCACATGGTTGACCAGGCGCAATTGCGCCAGACGACTTGACGGGATGAACTGCGGCAGAGGCGTCCAGGTAATGAACGCCTCGTACACCGTGAAAAGTGTCAGCATGATACTGGCAGCCACATTCCGTCGATAGGCGTGGACTTGAGGATTCAAGTCTTCCAAAATGGACGAACCATACTCTCTCCGCAGCATCACGACGTTTTCCATCCTATCGATAATTTGATGCAACACGTAGAAGATCTCTTTGTAGACAGGCACGAGTGGTTTAAAATCCCCCTTAAGGCGCGGTTCAGTAACGGAGAATGGGAGAAAAGTCTCGGCCGCAGCCAGAGCTCCTCGTGCTTTGTTTGTGGCACGACGGAAGCGCTTGTTGAGGTCAGAATTCCGGAAATCTGGCTTGATGGGCTCGTCCAGGCCAACAGCCATCGCGGCTTGCATATTTTGAACCTGTTTGACCGACGCTGCGACAGATTCAACTAGTCGATCTCTAGCTCTGACTGGATATAAAATAAGTTCAATCAGCAGCGCAGTGGTTCCCCCCACGATAAAGGCACACAAGCGCTTATAGAAATAATGATAAGCGGGCTCGTTGCCGTTAACAGCAGCTAGTACTGTTAGTATATCAAGGATATCCGAAATGATAGCAAGCAACCTACAGAGTGCAACCACGACCATTGTAACCGTAGAGATCATGCCGGCCTTGACATATCTAGTGCCAAGCTGGACATAGAACGACGGCATGATACCAATAATCAGAAAGAAAACCATGGCGATCAGACTTTTGCTCCCGACTAGGGCAGATGCAAAGCCAAAAGCACTACCTGCCACGACACCGCAAAGACGAATGAAAAAGACGTGGAAGGACGTTCCTATGGCCACTTCAAAGACGAGAAACAGCTGCATTGGTGCCCATATGCCACGATAGGAACCGTACCATCCAGCCTGAGACTCCACGAAAGCCGGCCAGCTAAGTAAGAGGATGGCGATTGTGAGTTTGAACGCATATTTTATGTGTTCCGAGTCCTGGGTCCATTCCAAGACATCGGCTGCCATCCCCCTAATCTTGAGGATCTTACTGCGTTTCTGAGGCTGAGATTGCCCCTTTTCTTGTGGTTGTTCAGCGTTGCGATCCTCTCTCGTTTGAAGAACCGGCTCTGCAAATCGAATGCCTTTTTCTTCATCCTTTCCCTTAGGCGGCTGTGTTTTCGTATCCTTATTGCTTTGGTTTGTTTTAATTTTGGACTTGTGTCCTGTTGTACTCTTTCCCCGACGAACTTCTTTGCGAGCCGCTTCTGGCAGAACAAAACCGTCACTCTCACCACCAGTAATCAACCACTGCCTGATATCGACATGTTTGGGAAACCAGATTGTGGCTCTGTCGTTTCGAGCCTGCCTCTGTTCGACTGTCTGTCGAACATGGCGAAGCATCTCCAAAACATACTTAGCTGCCTGACGCAAACTAAGTACGAACGAAGATATCAAGAACGTTTCCATTCGGGGCATAAAGTCCGTACTATATCCACTCTTATCCATACCTGACCGGCGAAGCTCCATGGAGCAGCTGGCATCGAAATTAGCGATTGCTTCCGCGAAAAGGTCGATTCTAAGGTCCAATTCTTGGAGATGGATTCCTCTTGGGGTTGGTGCTCCTGAGGGCAGTCTCCGTACATCATAGCAATAAGCGACACATATGATGACCAGGCGTACAGCCTCCTTCAGCGAACCCTCAAACACCTGAACAGGCTCTCGGATACGCTCAATGATGGACTCAAGAAGACTTGCGCTACTAGCTTCGATCTCCCTTAGAGGTTTGCTTTCTTCAACCCTCTGAAGGTAGTCATCAAAGGTGCTCATGCGTTTGATTCCATTGGGCCCGGACATTTCGCTGTCGCTTTCGTCATCGGTGCCATCATTATTCTGCAATACGATGAATTTGTTCTCACATGCAGCGATGATGTTCACTGTGTTTTGGACGAGGCTGCTCATATAGGAGGTTGTCAGAGGCTTCATGCTGCTTAGAGGAAGAGCTGACACAGAGATCTCGTAGTTAACTTCCTTCTGAGCAGCTTTGCAATGAGTGTGACGTGCACGAAGACTCCCCTTGTTGCCTATCAGACTCTTGATCGTCGTAAGGCCAACTGGAGTGGTGGACATATGATATCGATGTTGAGATTGTTTGAAGGGATTCGGAAACTGACTCAACCACTTGCGGAAACGACCCTTCTTGCGCTTTGGTTTCTCGGGGACACTCTTTACTGTGTTTGTCATTGTAAGGGCAGTGATAGTGGAATCTTCTTCGGAATCAGCACCAGGTGTGATGAACCAATGCGTAGCCCGTGTCACGGTATCCATCGTTTCGATAAGAGCATCAATGGCAGACACACCGAGGTAACTGCTCGACAGCTCGGGAAAGATTGATAGGTTGACCACGATTGAGATACCACCGCCAACCATCATAGGGTAGTAGGTGTGTGTAATAACCTCTGAAGACACCGAGGTGTAGCCCCCGAGCAGAGTAATGATATTGGCAATGAGAAAAAAGGTGACAAATAAGAACATGCGGGGACTAGCCGATCTTACGTAGCCATGAAAGAAAGCAGCCATGGTGAAGAATACTGCGCAGATAGCATTATGGGCTGTTTCGTGTGTTGTTTGAGCAGTAGCCAACATAGATAGCCTGAGTGCAACTATGGACCACGCAAGTCCGAATAAGGTGCCCAGCAGCATCATGAGAAGGGTCTCGATCATGGGGCCCAACCTTTGACCTGGATGAGCAAAGACAGTAGCCATTGGTGCAAGAAAGGTCGAAGGGCCCAGGACTGCGGCGGCTTGAGGAGTCATGACGGCGACGACCGAACCGATACTAGCGATGGAGCACTTGATTATCTGTTTCCATAGATCGTTGGTCTCGGTGTCAACCCAGAGGACTATGGCCAGCTCTCGAAGTCGTTTCGTCACGGTCTTCATGATGGGCGACCTAGCCATGACTGCGGTAAAGATATAAGCTGATACTTTGGTGAATTCGTTGGAGCTTGATGAGAATCGTCAGTCATCCTCTCGTCTTGCGGATGGACGCTTCGAGATTCGCGTGAGCGCCAGATAAGAGAAGAAACGGACGAGCACGGCCAGCCATGCAGAAGGAAAAGATGAGGAAGAAGCTCAAATCGTCAATGCTCGATGGTGTCTAATCATGCAATTCATGCCCAGCAGTAGGGGTCAGAATTCCTTAATATCGTATCGCGTCTTGGGCTCCAAGGCTTGGCTACTCGTGGGTCATGAATGATTCGTGTCTGCAGGGGGGGAACTATGTCATTGCTTTTATAAGTGTATTATATTAAGATGATAAGAGTTTTCCAAGATGAGAGAGAGGGCGATCATATAATCATGAGTCGTGGGAATAAGCAATTGATGAAAAGTCATGGAAACACAGTGAAACAAAACGATGATTGACGAAAACTTGGAAAGTGCCGGAGATGGAACATCGGCACACGACGCTAAGGCAGGTTGCCCACGCGATGTGCCGAGACCTCGACTCCCATCGTTCAGGGCAGTCAATGGGATTGTATTCAGTACAACTGGCTTCTATAAGAAGTGTTCAGTTGTAATTCAGAGCCAACCGTAGAATCTTCTCGGTAAAATAGAAAATGACCAATTTGAAGCCATATCAACGTTTTTGCGGGGGAGTAAGACTAACTGGCCCATCTGCACCTCAGCCAAGCCAAGCCTGGTTGCACAACAGAAACAGGGGGTCAACGTGTGCTAGAAACTGGACTAGGCCGGGGCATCCCCAGGGTCTCTTAGTGGCAGCCTTGCAGCTCTCCAGTGGCTTTATCCTTACTACACTCAGCCAATCAGCATCAACCCTTGTGTTCCGCGACAGCCTCCTAACAACGTCGTCTTATCCATGCAACCATTTCTACCCCAGCTCTCCTTTCTCAACCGCCTCCCTCTCGTCTTGAGCTTCAGCCTTGCCCAAAGTCAAGATGCTCTCCTTTATCCTCATCCAGAATCGACAGTACGTTCTCCCAAATCCGCACACTCTCTCCGATTGAAAAGGTACTTACTGCTTCTCAGGGGTAAGACTCGTCTCGCGAAATGGTACGCCCCTTTTAGCGACGAGCAAAAGATCAAGCTCAAAGGCGAAGTCCATCGCCTCGTCGCACCCCGCGATCAAAAATACCAGTCCAACTTTGTCGAGTTCCGAAACAACAAGATTGTTTACCGCCGCTACGCTGGTCTTTTCTTCTGCGCCTGCGTCGACACAAACGATAACGAGCTCGCCTACCTAGAGGCCATTCACTTCTTCGTCGAGGTTCTCGATGCCTTTTTCGGAAACGTATGCGAACTCGATCTTGTGTTCAACTTCTACAAGGTCTATGCGATTCTCGATGAGGTGTTTTTGGCGGGCGAGATTGAGGAGACGAGTAAACAGGTTGTGCTTACACGGTTGGAGCATCTCGACAAGTTAGAATAAGGCCGGCGCTTGGTCGGGACCTGAAAGGCTGTGAGAATAGGCGGGATATTTTGAAATACTGCTTCATCTGGCCGAAATCGTCATTTGCATATCATAAGGGCAGGCAGGAGTTGAGGCGTTTCGTGGAGGCATCCACAATATCGAGAATATACCATTATCGCTGCGTTGTCCTTTTTATCCCAATCTCCCGCTACAAGAGCATTAGATTGGATATAAAAATGACACTTGTTCGAATCATTTTGTCAGATCGATGGGAGACGAGCTCGTGCCGGATCCTTTCGAAACCAACCTGGGGTTACTACTACCACCAGTGTCGAGTCTTGCTTTTTTCTTTGCTGGTACTTCCCCATGTTCTCCTTTTATATCCAGCGACGTAATCTCTTCGGACTCTTTGGACTCTTTGGACTTCGTATCCGTATCTGCAGCAGTCTCTATGCTTGAGAAGGGGATATCCCTCGTCGGCCAGTCCTGAAGGGCAGATTTGGTATACTCATCAAACTTTCTAATTTGACCGCGAGTCTTGAATTTCAATTCTCAGCAGAGGAACTTCCAAACATGTGGTTCACCTTACATTGTAATTGCGCAGTGGCAAGCCGGAGGGTGGTATGGGCTCTGAGGTCCTATACCCGTTAACACGATATCCATACCCATGCCAGATGAGCATCGTACTCAAGTTTAAGGAACTGATTCTCTATTTCATGTCGTAAAGCATTTCTCTTCTCCCTCAGCTGTTTTGTGTCCTCGTCCGACTCAGTATCCTTGTTGTTGATTTTAGCCCACAAGGCGATGGCGTCTTCAACCTCCAACCCCCAGGAGTCCACGAAAGATACCCATTTCTCGACGACTTGGCTTTGGAGGTTCTCTTCTGTCGTGAAGTCTTGGTGAATAAGCCATGTCATGTAAATTCTCCCCATTCTTCTAGCCGAGAAGCTTTCAGGTGTAGCGTCAAACTTTTGTTCGAGCAGGTTCTGGGAGACTTGAGCCAGTTGTGATACATCTTGCAAGTTGCTAAGACCGAGGGTGTAGCGGAGAGTGTTAAGAGTTTTTCGATTTGATCCCATTGTGTTCATGGACCGTGAAGGTTACCGGAGGGAAATGTTGTACTTGAAAAGACTGAGTGATTGGCGAATGCAGGTATTCCTTTGCTTGTATGAATCGATATAGGTAGAATGCTGACTTTGAACGTGATCCAAAGGAAGAAAGTAGAAACAGAAGAAACGCGGGGGTTCTGAAAGTACCTAAATACTCCAGGCAAGGTCAAAAAACATAATGCAGTCGCAACTCAAGAGTGATTGAGTTCGTCTTCAAAGTCTACCTACTGATGCATACCTAACCATCATCTGTAGGTATCAAGCCCGGTAAACCTTTTGTCAGACCTGGCCGTAAAACCTCCATTCTTGAAGGACCTTATTCACTGTTCCTTGCTTGAATACTCTAGCTCGCAGTCGGAGTAAGTGATCTTGACTGGCTATCACTGACAACCATACATCTTGCATCTTTCATCTGTGTAAGGTATCTAAAGGCCCTTGTGTGTAACATCTTGCTTTTGTTCTACGGTTGAGCTGCAGCGAATAGTGTGACACAAAGTCCATTTTCAACCACTCAGTATCAAACTTCCTTGTCCATAGAACACGCACAGCAACATGATTCACTCTGACGAAGTAGAAGCACGCCCCTCACTGGATAGACCTTCCATCTACACACTATCATATTCTTTAAACACAATTCACAGGCTCACAAAACTTGTTCATCAACAAATAAACCCTAAAAACTCCACGTTGCGCAATATTCCCACTCCATCCAAAGCACCTCATCGCTTCTTCAGCGCCGCAAACCTTCTCTCCAAGTCCCCAAGATCCGGAATCGATCCATCGGGCTCGCCCTTCCTCGCCGCTGGTTCCGCCTTCTTACTCGGCTTCAGCTCTACTGAACCAAGCGTCACCTTGGGATGTATGTTGTCGGTGGTCATTCGCGGCGGTGTCACTGTTAAAGGACTCGTTGGGCCGCCACCAGCTAGCTTTTTAACTGGTGTGTTTAACACTGGATCTTTGGAATCTGCTGCGAGAGGCGTTTCGAGAACCTTTTGCTTCTGGCCGCCTTGGTCGTCGTCATCATCGTCGTCGTCGAGGAGTTCTGGTGGTGGTGAGACTGTCTCCCGCTTGGGCCAGTCTACTCCGTATGCTCTGGCAATTTCTTCCAGGTATCCCACCACAAGCTCTTCGCGCGGGGGCGTGACGCTGAGTTTCTTGACGACCTTCTCGTTGACCTTTCCATCTGTATTCTCCGTCGCGGCAAGGACATAGTCCTTTCCATACTTCTCCGCAAATAGCGTCCTCACCGTAGCCAGCTCTTTGATCTCCGTCTTGGGCGCCGCATATATCAGACTCTGAATAGCCTCCTCCAAGCCCGGGTCAACAGTATGGCCCTCCATCAACCCAGCACGAGCAAGTAGCAGTTCGCAGTAAAGTTCGAGCATCTCGTGAAGCTCGGAGGTGATGTCGGATCGAATGATGTTCTCAACGCGAATGCGGGCTGAGTCTTCCTTTCCGGCCTCGAGGAGCTGAGCCATGGCTCGTCGCGCGGTCTTTCCAAGCTGTTCATCGCGCTGCTGAACCATGCGCAACCGCGCGATGGTAAGCTTGAGCTGAACCTTGAGCTTTGTCTACGGATTGGAAGCAATATGTTAGTTGATACTTCAACTGGCGCATCATGACATTGGATGCGATAGCGGGGAAGCGGGGGGGCAACGGACTATAAGACTAGCACCTGGCGCCATGATGAGCCTACGAGGGGTGATATAGCAAAGGTTAGTATATAGAGGCAGAGTGAGAAAGAAGCCTTAAGAGAGTGGGCGGTGGTACAAAGGTGAGATTGAGATACAAAGAAGGTGGAGGGGTTTAAGTTGGGCACATTCAATCGAAGTGCTATAACTGCGCTGTAGTGTAAGGCAGCCTGTCCTGCCTTGCGAACGCCCAGACGCTATGAGCTCATTGTTTGAAGCCTTAGGGCCCCACTATAGCTTCACCTCATCCACATCCGGTTCAAGCCGGAGCTCAAGACTTCAGGCAACCTCAATTATTCATGTCAGTAAATGGAAGCAGTAACTATCAAGTATAGGCAGAAGCATTCTTCCTGCAATGCAAGGTCTTGTGATAATTAATGTACACCAATACTTCCATCCGTAAATATTTAGGTATACAGCTCGTCTCTATGTATCAATAGCCATCCCAGTCAAAAGGCTATCTCATAGCTCCAGATGATCTCAAATAATAGAATCCTTCATCGCCATATAACGCCGTACCCTAATCCCAGTGATCCCAAATGAAGTTATGGTTGTACACTCCCTCTATCTGCCAGGGATTTGCAGCTCTAGAAGCAGATGGTGCATCTACTCCATATCGGCATCCTGTGCAACCGGTACTACCCCATCAGTTGCCTCTCCCTTAAACACGTCGTTGCCTTCGTACGTGACTCTTCGCCATCCACAAGCCTCCTTGTCATCCTTGATCCATTCCATCGTGGGGAAGTAGTGATCGTTCTTCTTCATTGTGATCACCCACGGCACGCAGTCAAAGGTTACAGCTTTGAGTCGGAAGTCTATTACATGTTAGCTGTCCCGTATTTATAAGTTTCAAGAAACAGTGGCTGACTTACAAGTATTGTCAGGAATTTCCCGGGTCGCGGCAATGAAAGAGTCGAGATCAGGGGTAGGAGTACCATTCACATGGGTGATGAAGTTGGTTGGTGCGACGCCGTACTGATAGGCAGGCGATCCACGAATCCGACTAGAGACGTAAACCTCACTATGCAGCTTGCTGATCTGTTGTCGAACAGCCTGGTGAGGCCTGTGAAGGATAGCGCCACAGAAAGAAACGGCATGGTTCGTTTCCATGTCGTCTGCTGCCACTGTAGGAAGTTGTAGGTGCACCTCCTCACACTCTCGCACAATAACCGCGTCCAACAACTCATGTGAGTACATCAAGTCGAAGTCGGAGATGGTAGTGCAAATCTTTCCGTTCAGCGTGAGGATAATATCTCCTTCGAGAAGAGATACAGGGTGGTTCTCGCGCTCAAAGGTTCGCTTGCTGACCATGAACAGCTGATGATGAGATCGGTTGGTCTGGGTAACCTTCTTGATCCACTCATCGGAGACGCCCATGACGGATGCCTGAGCCATCTGGACTGATCTGAACTCGACGGACAAGATACGCAGCTTGGGGTTGATACCCTTCTGGACTGACTCTACGACAGGAAGCAGAGTCTTGGTGCCAAGACCGAGGTAGTACTCTTCATCGCGTGACGTATGATGGGAACGCTCTCCCAGATATGACAGCCACAGAGCCTGGACAGTACCGTCTGGCGCGACAAGAACACCACTGTTACATGTCGAACCGAGGTTGCTGTCGATCGTAATGGCATCAACATTAACAGCACGATAGCGCGGGGCGCCCGAGTTGGCGGGAATGGCCACCGCAGTGATCTCAGTGACACTTGTAGATCCATGAACAACGCGCCCAATCCTATTGTAGCCGAGGAAATAGGTCTTGGCGCCTTGGGTGAGAACCTCATTGCTCAGGCGAGCGCTCATGACTGGCGCATCGACGAGTGAGGGATCGTACTGAATAATGGCGTAGTTCTGGAGGGGGTGTAGGAAGACAACCTTGCCCTCAACAATGATGGAGTCAGCAATAGTGACAGTGATGTCGCAAAGATCATAAGGGACAATGGCTCTGGAGATCAGAACGAGACCCTTGTCTGCATCAATCACGAGGCCCATGCCCCAACGGCGGTTCTTAGGGAAACCATCGAGTTTCAAGGGCATAGTGCAGTTGATATGCACAAAACTGCGGATGAGGTCGGCAATGCCTTGGTGTGGCATGTGGTCCAGCTCAATAAAGGAGGCGGATCGTCGAGTACGTGGAACAGGAGGCAATGGGTCTCCCAAGTCAGTGAAGTCCCAAACTCCAGACTCATCGTTTCGAACAGCAAGTTTCATCTTGGCCGCCCAGTGTCGGTCAATGTAGGCAACGGTAGTGTTGAGGGTGTGGAGGTCACGAAGGTGTTTGTAAGTGACAACAACTCGTGCGCGATCTGGGATTGCCTTCATTACTTGGATGAAAGTGTCTAGGTCTGGCACCTTCTTGTGGTCAATACTCTGGACAATCCAGCCATTATCAGTGTTATCAAATCGGAATGAGCCAGCTGATTCGCAAACGTAGACACCCTTGACAGCGACGGCATAGAGTCTTGCTTGCTGGTAGGATAAATCGTGGAAGCTGGCGCCTGCCACTGAAACAAAGCGGTCAGGGGTAATCTTGTGAAGATCTCCGACCGCGATCTCGACTTCTACGTCCTGTCCACCGCGCTGAAGGTGCAGTTTAATGGTTTCGTCAACGCTCGAATCCAGAATGTCGTCCAATCGAATAAACTGTGTGATAAGTTCGCCGTTGACCTTGATCAAAACGTCGCCTTCCTCGATCTTCTTGTCTGAAGGTCCTTGGGGGAGGACAATCTCAGCCACAAGCATGTTTGTCTCTTCCGGAAACTTCTCACGCATGGCAGCCTCCCATTGAGGGCTCAATCCCAACCTTCTGCATTCGTCAAAAGGCTTGAGAAGGAACTGGCACTGAATGTCACCACGTGTGACAGGCTTGCCGTTTTGAATGCATTGCAGAGCACGGAGTGGTCGATCCAATGGTAGGAAGTAATCAGTCGAAGCTCCATCAGAACGACCGCCAGCTTGGAGTGCGACAGCGCAACCGTCCTTGTTCACGACGGGACTGCCAGAACTTCCTCCACTAGCAGCGGCGTTGGCCTGGTAGTAGCACGTGTTGAAATCACTGTATCCCTCGCCATATTCCGGGGCATTTCGATCCAGGCGACTGATGATACCTGACAAGATACTAAGCTTTTCGCCAGCATCGTTACCGACGACTCGAATCTCGGTTCCAACTGTGCTTATTAGTAATGGTCCTCGGCCGTGATCGGAGTCCTTACCCTTTGCGAGGTCGGGTCGCAGCTCTAAGCCATCAATGTGCATATACTTGATCGCCTTGGGATCGTATCGTAGAATACCGAAATCGTGAACGGGGTCGCGGTAGACGGGGTAACAGTCGACTTCTTCGTGGTTGTCGAAGACACAGTGGCCCCAGAAGGGACCAGCGCCAACAACGTGACGGTTGGTCAAGATGTATCTGCAGAGCCAGATTAGAGCCTCTTCTCAGCTGGTATAGACAGGGGTTACACACCCTTTCTCGGAGTCAACAACGTAACCAGTAGCTTCACTGGTCAAAGCAGAATCGGTATCGAAAGAGCAGGTCTGGCAGAACCTGATGGCGACGACGTTGCGCACCACCTTCTGGATGGTATCCTGCCACTCTCCCAAGCTCCCTGGTGTTCCAATATACATAGCGTGAGGGTGAAGTTCGTCGGTCATGTCGGAGTGGTCGTCAAATTCAACAATGTCTGGTGTGTTATCGTTTGGGGAATGTTTTCCGTTGATGGGTTTTTTGGAAGGAGGAGCTTCGTCTGGCGAGCCCGGGGCCTTTCTTTTAGCCCGGGCTGAAGAAGATGCGCCATTCATGATTGTTTTGATTTCTGTGATTTATGACGGCAAACGCGACGACGATGTTGGTGAAGGAGAGCGCGAGTTTGGTTCGTGGTTAAAGGGGATCGAAAGTTGACAACGTCACAGAGAGAGAGACAGGGATCGCAAACAGTGACGGGACTGAGACAACAGCACGGGTAACGACAGGGAAACAGAGATGACGGGAGGAAAGAGGGGGCCAGTGATTAAGTAGAGATAGAAGGGATTCAAAGAATGCGTTGATAAGGTAGGATTAAAAGGGTGAACTCATGAGGGCATGTGATGAAAGGCCCAGGCTTGAGTGAGAGATGCGATGCGATGCAATCTGGGGAAAAATTTATGATGGATTCCATGCCTTGGCCTCAAAAGTCCAGTCCAGTCCAGTCCAGTCCAGTGATTGAGTGGATCAGCTGCAGCGGCGGGACTCTAAGGTTACAGGGGAAATCATACCCTCAAAAGCCGCTAAACGATGCAAGCGCCGTCATTCCCGCGGTGCCTAGGGTGCCTTCGGGTGCCCTTCAAGGTCTGACCCGGTCCCCACTCGACTCGCCCCGACAAGACAAAGAGGTTGTGGGTGTGGTCGAGTCGAGATGGTGTGCCACATAGAGACGAGGGGGACGACAGATGACCAGTCAGATGGGGGGATGGGATGGTGGGCGATTGAGACTTTTGTACCTATTCTGCTCACCTAGATTGTCAATATCAAGCTTATGAGTCCTAGATCTTTATATAATGCAACACATCGCACAAGACACCTGACCTTGTAAGTATGTGAGGGTCGTATTTATATGAGACATGGGCTTATGATGACCGACAGTATTTCCAAAGCCATAGATGATATCGTATACAAGAGAGAGAATCCACGATTTGGAGCACTGATTGACTAACAGGGAAACCAAAGACTGTTCCCCCTACTCGAGTCTCTTCACGTCATACACATCGACCCAAAAATCACTGCTGTCCTCCCTCATGTAACCAAACCTGCATCATCTATAAGGGTCACTCCTCGATCCACGAGGCCTTGCCATGCATGCATATCCAAGACAACCCGCTGCCGTCCGAGACACGGAAATAAACGTGGAGGGTTCCCAACCCACAAGATCCTGTGCTATCCTATCATTGTTGCACTGCTTCCCGATCCAGGTGACCACCAACGTGTCTCGTGCGATCCTCTCTTGCATATGCATATCATACAAACATTCAGAGCCCCTCTCTTCGCCTTGACGGCCCGGACTCGAACAGCTCGTCGATTGTTGCCTGCTGCTTTTCCGGGGACATGCAAGTCGGCCAGTGGACGAGATGCCCTCGTCGCTTCTTGACAAAGGAGCTGTACAGTAGCCAAGCAAAGAACACTGCTGTGACGCTCAGTGCTGTCGGGTTGTGGAACTCACTAGGTGACGAGAATATGATGGTCGACGTGTATGAGCACATCTCGAACACATTTTGCCAACTAGCTTCCACAGCAGAAAAGGCTCCTCTATTCTCTGCCTCAACTTCCTGCAATGCATGGTCAGCAAAGTTCCTCAACATATACCGCAACAGAACTCACCTCTTGAATAATGACCTGTGCAGACAGATCTACCCCCCAAAGTCCGATTCGGCTCAACATCGAACCACAGACAAGTCCCAGTGTCGATACCAAAACGTTGCCAGCATATCGCCAGAAGATTGATACACCGATTGCTAAACACCCCAGTTCCCAGCTGAGGAACCAAAGACCGGCACGAACGGGACCAATTCTCTTCATTAACCACGGTCCGATCCATGTGGCGAGAACCTCGAGAGTCACCGAGACTGTTCTCATTGCAGCAATCTGAGCTGAAGTGTATCCACTTGCTAACAAATATGTAACCATAACTCCGCCAAAAGACAAGACTGTGCAGTAGAGAAGCGCTATTGAGAATGAGGGTGCAAATGCAGGATGTGTAAAGTAAAGTCGAAGGTCACTGGACGTCTTCTGCACAGCCTTTTTGAACGACACATATACATTCTGATGAATTTGTTGTTCCTCATTTTGTGGTACAATAGGGGGCGTAGTCTTTGATTGCTGAAGTTCGGGTACTTGATAATAGACCTGTCTCAGTCAGAGAAGATCATGTTGAGGTCGTATGGGTTGTATATGACTTACCTTAGCAATAGTGAAATATTCAACAATAACTGAAGCACAGTTCATTGCTAGGTTGACAAGAATTGCTGTTTCCGTGGAAACACCATCTAGTATGCCTATGAAGAAAGGTCCGAGTAGTTTACAAACAAGGTCAATTCGCCTCATTTGCGAGTTCATGGCTATAAGTATGTGTTAGTAACATCCATATGATATTTGAGAGAAAACATACTTCGAAGTGCAGTAGTATCTGAGCGTGCCACAACAATAACCCAATCTCTTTCCACTGACACGAGATTCATGATAGCGGCTAGTTTCTCAATACATGCCATGAAGATCAAGGCCGCAAGCAAACCGACCCGCAGCTCATCTGAAGGGCTTTCGGCTCTGCTGAGTATGAAGAATATAGCGCATGAGGCAGCAACAACAAGTCGCTGTGAGACTACTCGGGTTAGGGTCATCTGTCATAACGGCTTCTAATGACCTACCGATTGACAGTCTCACAGTCTTAAGGCGGTCTTTACGATCGATGTAGCTCCCGACCCATGATGACAACGTGATCGCAGAAGCACCTCTCACTATCGAGTATATCGCAAGGGGCATCAAGGTTCCGGGGAAGATTGATGCAAGATATAAGACGCTGCCGAATTCGAAGACGCGTGAGTTCCATGTTGAGAGGGTATGAGATATATAGAGCCTTCGCGCGCTTTGGCTGAGCGTCCATTCGGGGTCGGTATTGCTGATATTACTAGTATCACTTTCATTATTGCTGCTGATTTGGTTTAGTGATTGATACTGTGAATGAATGATGCCAGTTGATGAAGTCGGCGATGTCGCTAGTAACGGTGCCGTTTCTTCGTCTCCGACGCCGGTAGTTGAAGCCATGATCGTCAATTCCTCAATTCTTCAGGTACTAGAAAGCAATCACATGACACTAAACAAAGAGACAATTGAGGAAACTTCAGATTTATATATGAGAGTCAAGTTGAGTCTATCAATTGAAGATTGTTGAGGAATGGCCAATCGCTAGTATCTCGCCTGATTCTTGGTTGTCGGGTTCTATAAATGCCGGCCCCATCGCGATCTAGTAACCCCCATAATCCGACCTAGAGTCGGCCCAATCCCGATCGACTTCACCTAGAAAGGCAATATCTAGACAACTACATCCAACAGACACTTCTTTATACTTGCAATATCTACTAATGGACACCTGCAACACCATTGTTTTCGTGCTACTAAGAAGTCGATGTTGGGATCGGAAAGATATCGCGACTTTGTAGATGGGGCTTCCTCAATCGTCACACAATCAAAGACTCTAAAGATATTGCAGAGGCAGTATATGTTTATCAGCTAATACGAATACCAGCTTCCATAGTCACTCATGTAGACTATACATGATGCCCTTCTGCTCTGTCCTCTTGCTAGATGTCCACTAACACCTTTCATCTGAGTTCTAGCAGATGGCATCAATAGTAAAGATTCCCTTCTTCCTGTGTCTGTTGAAAGTTTGGCGACGACGTTCTCCAGCATCATAGAGAAGATACATATAGGAGCCTAGATCTCTCCAGTGACATTGTCGTCCTCATCCATATCTTCATCCTTGACGGTGGCGTCGCTGAGCTCCTTCTTGACAGCCTTGGACTCGCTGTCGGGGGTCTCTGTTACTAGTGTTAGTAGAAGGCTTGATCTGAGGGCTAGATATGATCGACTTACTGGGAGCGCGACGCTTACGGGGAGTCACCTTGGGTGTCTCGTACGCATCCTCCTCGTCCGATCCGCCCTTCTTGGCTTTGGTGACTCGCTTCCGACCTAGAAGAAGGTGTTAGTTAGTCTACTAGAATATCGCGACTAGAAACGGGGTATATGGCTTACCAGGAGTCGCCTTCTTGACAGGGGTTGACGGGGCACTGCCGTCATTGGATTGGCTTTTGAAGGCCTCAATCTTCTTGTTGAAAAAGGTCCATTGGTTCTGGAGACTCTTCACGGTGCGTCCCTCCATGTTAATCTCCGACCAGTTGATGGACTTGCCCTCAGGCTTCAACTGGGCGATGATACGCAGAAGAAGCTCGTTCTATTGTACTGGTTAGACCCCTTGAGGATAGATCGGGGACAGGATCGGGACAGGATCGGGACTTGCCTTGGCTTCATCGGTCCAGGCGTTGGGCTTGACAGCAGCGTCAGACATTGTGTCAGTTGAATCAGGTTGATTCTTTCAGAAAGAGAACAGAAGAGGCGAAGCTCGAGGCGAGAGGTTTGAAGATAAGGCGTAGATAAAAGGAAGCGGTATGTCCTAGCAAAGGGCTTGCAGATAAACCGCAGATGAAATGATGGAAAACAAGTTGAGTGTTGAGTGAAGGAAGCAGTGAGATGAGGCCTAAGTCTGTTAATGAGAGGACTTAAATACTAGAAATCCGAAGTAAACCTAGATGCGATAAAGCGTTTGAATAGAAGAATAGAAAGTGTCAGGGGCAGTAAACAAAAGGACGCCCCCTCACTAGACAATTGCAGAAAGCAAACGGCTCCTAGAAAAGATCGGACGAAACGGCCATTGCAATGAACCACCCAACGCACTCCGATTGTAGTCCAAGGGTCACCAGCAAACGGATAGAAGAGAGGATCAATAAGAGAAATAATAACTAGAACTTACTTTATATATTGGAATGTGTCGTTGCTGGCTGCTATTTGCAAAGGTAAAGAGCCTGTTGAAGGGGCTTCGGATATTGTTGTTGTTGTTGAAGACTACTGACTCTGGTCAGAAAAAATGTGAAGAGGAGAAGAAAGAGAGAAAGGTAGAATACTTGGAGGATGGGAATTATATAGCTCTCACGATCACAGAGCACAGCGAATCACGCACGCACGAAGGCTCTCAAATCCCAAATCTCGCAACCCGAGCCAGGGGCTAGCGCACTGCCGCCGTGAATTTGCCAGTGCCTGACACTGCCCACGCCTTGAGAGGTACCATCTCGTCTATTTCTATGGTTAACTCGTGCCATCATATACACGTCTTGGATTCCTGTCTCCAAAGACCAAATCGCTGATGCCAGTGAAGCCCCAGTCTCGTCTGCAGCGAGAACGCCATTGATGCAAATCGCCCAGTTCAGTTGCCACTAATAATCAACAACAAAAACCACTATCAAACGTAACGAAACGAAACGAAACGCAATGCAACATAACTGCCAGCTCCACGCACCCCATGCTTGCATCGCGCCTGTTGCCTCCCAGATCCAGAACCTGCTATCCTCGTCATCTTGTGGACTCCTGTAGAAACCCCGAAAATCACTCTGTATCGCGTTGCTATATGTGGTATCCTCTCCAGTGATCAACAGCTAAGTAGGTACGTAGCAGTTAGTCTTCCTGGTATCCCATGTTGACGATAAAAAGACATTAAGACGAAATTCGACCCAATCCATAAACTGTCAACTCCGCAAAACAAAACCAATCAATTACTTCATCTTCATTCGGAACGCCATGAATTCTCGGAATCGGTGTTCATGCTCCTCGCATGCAGCCGCCCAGCGTCGGCGAACATCCATATCCTGTTCGAGCCAGTTGTAATACTCCTGAATGTCAGCATCACCCCGGTTTTCCAAGAATGAATACCCCTTTTCTTCTCGGGTACGAGTGATGTGCGACTTTCGGGTGGCAAAATGGTCGACGACTTGGGCGTTGAACGTGTCCCATTGCTTCAAGTATTGTTCAAAATCTTTGACATATGTCTCCCAGGTAAGCGCGCTAGGCTTGACGCCGTTAACAGCAGCGGCAGCTGGGATTTGAGGAGCAGTAGGTGCTGTCGGAAAGATCAATGGATGGACCTTAGGTAGCTTCATTGGAATCTGAGGCGCTGCTTTGCTTTCAAATGGCAAATTATCCTTCAGGTCAGAGAAAGACTTCAAGCCGGAACTCTGTTGAGTGAATGGCGCCACGTTTCTGAGGTCAGCGAAGCTTGCTTGGAACTCTTCACTGTCTTCAGATCCCATATTGTTTGGATTGAATGCCTTTCTGGGACTCTCAGGTCTGTGCTCGTTACCATTGACAGTGTCAACATTGCCAGGTCGCCACTCGGGTCTGGTGGGCTCGACATTGATGTTTCGGGCAGCATGCGGAGCAGGTACCACTCCAGGAGCCTGGTCTGCTCCAACGGGTTGCTGAGGTTGGCTCACAGGCTGAGCAGGTTGTGGTGAAGGCGTAGTCTGAACTGGCTGGGGCGAAGGTATCTTGGGAGGTCGAGGTGGCGGCATGGAGGACGGCGCAGGAGGAGTATCTATGTCCATAGCCTGGGGACTCTCAGCAGCAGGTGGTTCTTCTTGCACCTTTCGGCCACGCCATTCCAACACCTCATCTTCACTGCTGCTGTCGTCCACAAGATTGGCATGGCTTGACTTTTTGGACGCCTTCGGCTTTCGTGAGTTTGTTCGGGTAGACCGCGTGGGAGATACCGACTTTGACGGCTGAGGAACAAATGTTTGGGGACCAAAATCCCAACCTGCAGGGTTAAAGGCCGACTCGGGCTTAGCAGAGTCGGATCTCTCAGCATCGGACATGAAACTTGGTGTACTCTTGCCGCTCATTGGGGGCCGCTTCCCTGGGGATTGGCGACCTGGTTTTCGGGGCCTACTTGGGCTATCCTGTTCAGCTCCACCGGCATTGAACGCCCACCCAGTAGCATCTTCTTCGTCAGCAAAACTAGTGTTAATATCATCAGTACTTCGCCGAGAGAATCGATGGTGGTCAGGTGATGTTCGTGAGAAAATGTCATCATTGACAGGGAAACTAAAACTGTTCGAGTAAACTTTGTTAGCACGATTCGGCATGCTGGGGTTTTTAGAGTCGCTGTCTTGGAGCTTCGGCTTCTTAGCAGGGCTGTCAGGACTCGCGTTGTTGATGAGTTGTCGTAAGAGCTCCTGTTGCTGGCACTCAAACGGGGTCAACTGGTGGGTTGAATCCTGTCTACCACTAGGCGACGACTGAGAAGGCTTGATGGGGATTTCATATGGGCAGTGATTCCCCAACGAATCATACCCATGATGACCACGACACTTGTTGGAGCTCTTCGGGATTGGGCGGCTGGATATTGTAGAAAATGAATTGGCATACATTGTTGGGCCACCAGGTGAATCAGTTGCTGTCTCATAGTTAGTAATAAGATGTTTGAATTGACGACTTTCACTGACGTTTATCATTTGCGGGAAACTCGGTGGCCTGCTGGTTAGGTCCCAGCGGAACACTCTTGAAGCCACTGCGAGTTTTCTTCAACGGCGCCTTAGGACGGTCTGCCGGGTCCCGAGGTATCGAAGGTTGTTCAGGAGCCTTATTATTCAAAGGAACGTCCTCAGCCTTTCCACCCTTCGGTGCACTGGCGCTGCGTTGTCGGTTGAAGGCTTCATTCTCAGAGGCAGATTGATCTTGGCGAGTTGCTTCCCGAGTACTCTTAGCCCGGTTGATTGAGATGCCGTCGAAAGGGTTAGTCTTTTCGCCTCCGTTTGACGACGCATAAGGAGTGCTTTGTCGGGGGTCGGCTGTACTGTCTCGGTCTCTGAATTGGCTTAATGGATCAGGCATCGCAGTTGGAGGAGGCCGTTGGGGAGTAGGAGGAGGTGCTTGTTGTGGAATGTCAGAGCCAAATCGCTGCGCATATCGTTCCGAAGCAGGTCGCGAGCTGTAGTTGCTACTTGATACAGGTGGTTCATCGCCCCCTGCTGTCCGAGGATGGAAACCTGTCTTTCTTGCACCAAACGAGGCCTCTTGACGTTGTCTGGCAGATTCAGTCCGTGGTGGCGGAGGTGGAGGGGGAGGTCGTGGCTGATCGTTCGCTTTGGCCGATGCACCCTTTCGCATGTTTTCGAATGCTCGGGCAGCATTCTTCTTCGATTCGGCATCTGATGCTGTATACTGCTTTGCAGTGGGAGGAACCCCCGTAGAGAAACGTTGCCATCTTTGTGCGCCCGATGGCGGAGCTCGAGGATTTGCATTGTTGCGCCGAGGAGGGGGCGGATACTGGGCGCTGACGTTTGACCAAGGGTTACCCTTAACACCCGAAGCTCCTGGGAATCTACCGCGCCCTCGCGAAGCATCGTGCTTGGCTTTCTGTTCAGGGTCGGAAAGAATTTCGTGCGCCGTTTGGATAATCTGGAACTGGGTGTTCACTTCTGCCTCTCGCCCAGGATTGCGATCTGGATGATACTTGAGAGCTACAATTCGTGTCAGCGGCTGTATGAAGGGCAAGAGCTTCGTTGGTCTGTACCAAGTTTCCGATATTGTTTTCGAATTTCCGCAGCGTCTGCCGTCGGTGGCAGCTCTAAGTCTGCATAGTAGTCTCGGGGTGTACCCATCGCGATGAAGGGGCCCCAGTCCACTGGCAATTAGGTTCGCGCAACCTCAGGATATGTACTTGTAGTCTTGAAGGGTTCGGGTATCAACAATCTAATAGTTTGCGGAAATGCATCAAGGCCGTCTTCGGTGTTGTCTGTATCAAGCGGCGTTTCAGGTCTGCGAGAGACTTGTCGTTGGAGTTCGAATTGATCACTGTTGCACAATGGGGTACTGTACTCAAGTGCCAGGGTACGTTCTCGATCGAGGTGCACGAGTAGGAAGTCGTACCTTGAAGGTTTAATGTTAGCACGTATAATCACTAGAAAGTCGAGATCAAATCAACAAGGTTGAGCAAGGGCCAAGGGGTCATGGGGACGACCAGAGAGCGAAAAGCACAGAGGATATATCTGATCAGCCATGGAGTGTCGCGAGGATGGACCCGGTGTCGGGTGGCTACCTCAGCTAACTGTGCCTCTTGACATGCGCAGCAACAGAAGCGGATTGGTGGTACTGATTGGCATGTTACTGATCCAAGGAAAAGGGAGAATTACCAAGATGACGTCAAATATTCAACGTGAGGCTGTTGATCAAGGAGCGGATCTGTATGACCAAAGATGAGACTACGTTTAGTCTAAAGAGGGGATGAAAAGGTCAGTGAATGAAGGCGGGGATGCGATGAAAGTGCCAAAAGAAAGAGGGAGGGAGATCTGAAGCTGGTGGTGATCGGAGAATAGGTAGGTACTGTACCTTTTTTGGATCTAGGCGGAGCTCAGGTGAATGAATGGGTGAAGTCGAAGGGTGATACACTTGAACTACCAGGACCCTAGTTCACGAGGCCGCGTTGAATGGCTGTGGCTCAGCTACAGGGTTCGCCTTTCGATAGACGTTTTGGACCCTGAATTTCGCGGCAGATGTTTCGTAACGCTTCTTTCGATGTGACTTTACTAAGAAGTGATCTTGGAATGCGGTAATTAATTTTGTTCCTGAACTTGGAACCTGTTGGCGTAGGTGAAGCAGATTCCTGTCAGAGTATCATTCGGTTGCCCGCGCATATGTAGAAGAAAACAAACATGTGGCGGGGTCTTATATTTGTACCAGCAACCAATCCCCAGAACCCCACTACATGGAAGACTCCAGTTGCCATTGTCTGCAACTCCAACAATGAGCTACCTATCATCCGATAGTTGAGGTATGTGATTCATATCACTATCTCTGCGAGAGTAGGCGTTCTATCAGATGGCCTCTCTGTCTAGTCTATAAGATGTTGAGTTTATGGCATTCCTGGTAATCAACCTCGAGATGCCCATGCTTAGATAGCTTCAACTGGACCCCTTAAACCTTTTGGTTACCTCAGTCATGCACAGGAACACAAGCCAATCTTCATTTTCGCTTTGAGTATCTGGAGGCCTTCTGGCATCCTAGCACTGCGCTAGTTGCCAGACATTCATTTCCTGATAATCTCCCGAGACCATCGCCACAGAGCCACGCAAGCACTGCCACATCTCTAACTGCTGTATCAGCTTCACATGAGGATTGGCTGGTTGGTGTAAATCTCAGAATGAGTCTGAGAAACAACTCAAGTTCGAGTGAAATATTGTGAGTCTAGAAATGCGTTATCAGACTTGTGGCAGATATCTCGGCATGGCGATATTTTAAGTCTCTGCTAGCAAGATGGAAACACTGCTTGACTTGTTTGCGCATGTGATCAATTGAAGATAATCGATATGCAGTAAAACAGGGTTGGCTTACAAGCCACGCGGAATGCTAACCAGCGTCGATGCGGATCTGACAACACGCTATACAAGCACTTTAGGCTCTTGGGGTTGGTTAAATGATTAACCAAGTGTCGATACGAATACATGTTTGTCTAAATATGAGTATCATGGAAGAAAACCAGACACTTGTCTCCGTCCAAAGGGCACGCGACATAACACAACCGTCATAACTAATACAATGCTTGGCCACCTTGTTATCTACTAAGTTATATCATGCGTCTTTCTATCCTATCAACTCCCCTGAGGTGCCTTCTCAGCCGCAAGCTTAGCTTCCATCTTCCTCCGCGCTGCAAGAATCATCTCATCCCTTCTCCTCTGCAGCGAAGCTTGCCTCTCGTCCCTGTTCGAGCTCCATCCCTTGCCCTTGGCATCCTGCTCCTCCTGCGACGCAGTATCCAATTTGTCCTTGAGGTTATACCGGGTGATAAGATCCGGCTGCGCTGGCTTATCCGGCTGTCGAGACGCCGTCGCTGCGCTGCTGCTCGGTGAGGATTGGCCCGGAGGAGGCGGTGGTTGGAAAGTCACGGGGGGCTAGTGGTGATACTTGTCAGCGAGAGGCCTGAAAGGGCAATAGCACAGGTTCACCATACCGTGTCCAGTCGTCCTGCTAGTATTCGCTCTGTCGTGCTCTGGATGTTTCCTCCGTTGCGCTGCAGATCCCATAGAATACTCCGTCGATCCGCCTGCGGAAACATTTGCTGTATTCTCTCAACTGCAATCTCTCTTGACCGGAGGAAAGCTTCAGGGGATCGTGTGGGCCGAGGTGGCGACGGTCCTCCAAAGAACAGATATCGTATTATCAAGCCTGAGACGACCAGGATGGCCAGTAGATATGGCAATGAGATTTGGTCGTCCGCCATGATGTATGAGTCGCAAGGAAGAGGCGGACGTTTGGAGGAATTATAGGAGGCTACACAGGTTCGACCGAGAATAGGTGGCTGTCCAAGAAAGATGCCGAGATGACGATAAGTATGTACAGTTGTAGTCCCACGAGCTAGAGAGAGCTTGGGTCGTGGGTCGGTGGCATGTAATAAGCGTTGCTCTTACGGCAGCGAGCCCACCCTGAAAGATGGGGCGCTACGTCAAATTGCATGTGGGGAATCCTCGGCTAATCATGTTAATGACCAAACTTGATATCAGAACCAAATGAGACGCTGCCTTGGGGCACTTTCAAATGTCGATTCCTGATAGTTGATGATTGGGCAGAATCATTGAAGTCAAACCCTGGCCTGGCGTCCATTGCGGCCACAGTGAATTCTCATATATGTCACAACATTCAAGGCAAACAGTTATTGCGCAGAACTGAAAAGCATCATTTATTGACACGACAGTCCCATATCCAGGCGATAAGCCAGCCCTCAGTGATGGAAGAGCGTTCATTCATAACCCAGGTCCGATCCCATCCCCACGAGAAACAGTTGCCCTGTCTTGATGCCGTAACGCCCCTTTATACGTTTCTTACGTATCAGTCACCCATGCACACCTGTTCCAAAGGAAATTCTCTCCAATCGTGGTGCTCAGTGCTCCTCCTATCAAGGTACAACCTGTGCCTGACCTAGTGTTGTATCTAGCTCGCCATAGTATAGAGTGAGTTCTTTCTGTGCGCTTGTTAGATGAAATCGTCTAGACCCCTCCGAGATGCACATACACGCTCTTTGCGCCAGGAGTTTGTGTCCCAGACGACGTAATAGCCTCGCTCATGGGTAGGACTCAGTATTTGAGGAGTCATGTGCTCGTCTTTGGTCAACCACATCTGGAGTTTCTTGTGCCACCTCCAGTTTCGAGAATGTCTATCAACAAGTCAGTTGTTTTCAATACAGTGGGCAGATAGGATATCGCCTACAGCTCAACTGCAGCCATTTGTTGCTTTACATCTGCCGTACAGCTGTAAAAGATCCAAAATAGAGTCTCTTCGTTGAAACTCTGGATTTTACTCTCGATAGGTTGCACATTCGTCACGTTATAACAATCCGGCAATCGAAATCTTCCATTGGAGAGGACTGGCCGAGGAGGTGCGTCATCAAACAGCGAGTAAATCTGAGTCGAAAACAACCTGAGAAGCCTATTAGCAAACCCCCCATCGCTAGTTTAGAGAAAACAAACTCTTGAGAATTGATGTCAAGACCCAGCGAGTTAGGGTCCATTCCCACAACCATCGCGTGGTAGTCAGGATAGTTGTTCATCAATGTTGTCAAGCCCTTGAGACCCCACTTGTCGGATGCTGGCATACCCTCTAGAGGGTCAATGACGTTCTCAGTATCGAGTCGCTTTTGCATGGTTTGTGCCACGTAATTCGTGGCGCTATAGTCCGCATTGTTATAATCCGCTACATTAGAAGCATCGTCTGGCAACGCATCCTCCTTGGAAGACTTTTGCCGGGGCTCTTCCAGGCCAGGAGGTTTGCCGTCTTGCGGTCTTGAAGAGCCTGATAAAGTAAGCATTTGGAATCGCGGGCAAGAATGACGAAAACCGACCAGGGGCTCCAATGCCAGGCGGCGACCTGGCTTCGTTCGCTCGGCTCGTAGCCGACAATGCGTTCAGAAGACCATTCCCCCTATTGCTTACCGAGGGTCCAGCGCCGGTGGCCTGAGAGCTGAAGCCCAATGATGACATCAAGCTCGCCGTCCGATCTGATCCCATCTCGCCATTCGAGGTCTGATTCAGTGGTGGAAAGTCGTCAACGCTGCTTGATTGAGTTTGTTGTCCAATGTTGCCTTGGTTACCAAATCTGAACCCGCCTTGCCCTCTGGAAGAGGTGGGACTGAACATATCATCCTGGCCACCTTGCTGAGGGGTAGCTTGGTTGCGCGGACTGGGACCACCCAGGTTTCGCGATCCCGCTGTCGACCACATAGACGACTGGTTGGGGTTCGACATCTGGGCGTTGTTCGATAATGATGGGAATTCGCTAGTCTGCATTAGCAAGCGCGTCATTGTGACTAGCTTCGGTTCGAATAATTCAATACCGGACAGGTATTGAAGCTCCGATAATGTGTGCCGCAGCCATATACGTACGATAGGTCGAGTGATGTTGCAGGTTGAGAGCCCGACAAGCTCTGCGCGAAGCTCACGTTTCCGCCAAGTTGACGAGCTGCGTTTTGGGGACCTGTTCCCGCCATGGGAACCCCTCCAAACGCCCAGCCAGAGTTGTTGTTCCCTATATTTGTCCCCCGGTATTAGCCTAAGGCCGTCTTCGATGCAACCCAGCCAAAACAACAGCGCGGAGATCGCAATCACTTCTGAAGCGCATACCTAGTTTTCCGTTCGGTAATCGATTCGTTCCTGCTCGTCCTGGTTGTTGGGGTTGCTGTTGACCTCCAAAGCCACCAGGCATCCCGCGGAGTGTCTGTGGCACTGCCCCTACGATTCGATGACATCGTCAGCGTTATCCTGCCAATGCTCGCTTGCTTGCTTGATTCTTGACCATCCAGCCTTCTGCTCGTAGCAATCTCTCCGACATGCCCCCAGCCTGATCCTGATCCGCGTTTAGATCCATTGAAGCGATCGTGGCGACATCCGAACAGGGTCAATGAGGGTCGCGGAGGGGGTTGAAAGCCGTAAAAGGGAGTTTCACAAGGCTCGTGAGCGTAAGTGCTGGCGCACAGCTCTCTCTCGCGTGATGATATGCCGAAAAAAATACGAAAGATGACGAAGGTTTTGCAGATTTCGCTGGCAGCGCGGGGTCTGGGCTGCGAAGGAATAACGTCGTGGGGGGTGCGTCCTACCTGGCCTATTCATGATTGACTGTAGAGGTTTGTCGCGATCAACAAAGTGGAGGTGCTGCTGGAATACAATGTTGTTGATTCGAAGTGTCGTAGCAAGAGGGTTCGTTCGGTGCGACGTCGATGTGTTTTTGTGCGGAGGTTGACAAAATGGTAGGGATGTTGTTTGTAGATGCGATCGTTTGCTTTCAGAGCTGGCCTTATTCGCCTGGGGCTTTAGGTTTGCTACTGGTTGGAGAAGGGCTCACTCACTGAGAGAGAAGGCTGGACATTGGAATGAGGTGGAATGGACGATGATCCGGGCGGGAATAAGTGGGGACGCTCCAACATCATGGCAAACATCGCCAACAAACAACGCCTACAAATAACACCAGCCTCTATTAGACACTGTGATATATCGAGTAACAATAGTAGTTAATATAGGCGAGAAGATACGGAGGTCAATTCCCATTCATTCAGCTTCAGTAGAGCTCAACTGCTTCAGTGACCAGCCACCACTAATGAAACACCTCAGACATCCTAGAGTTATCATGCACCTCTATTCTATTCTTTACTCTACGTAAAAAAGGCTAGCTCAGGGCTTTTTTGAAGCTGTCTTCAAATCCAACACCTGCTACATTCCTTCCAATCAGAATAATCTTCCCCTCCTTGGGCGTTTCGTCTCCCAACGGCCCGTCATTTATCTCAAAGACCTCCCTCACCCCCTGCAACATCTTGACCTCCCCATTAGCAAACACAAGCCGTCCCTTGGACCGATGAATCTCGAAATCACTCTCCTTTTCTTCTTCAGGAAGTTTACTGTCCCATAGTACCGATCGTAACCAACGATCAACTGTGTCCAGTTGTCCTGGCTCAAGGCAGCCAACGGGTATGGTGACGGTCGATATGGTCTGACCGGTTAGCTACATAACCTCTTACAATCATCATATATCAGGCGGGAACTTACAGGGTCGAGGTGACTATGTCCCTTAGCATTTGCGTCTGACTCATTGAATTGGTCATATGCGTGCAAATCAAGCAGGAACCCCTCCAATTGAGGGACTACACTCCTCTCCGTTACATGGATCTTAGCAAGACCGTTGATTGACTGGATTCTTGCTTTGACCCGGTTGAGTTCCGTCTCTGTAACCATGTCGGCCTTGTTGATTACGATCACATCAGCATGGGAGATCTGAACATGTGCTGTAGTCATGACAGGGCCATGACTGTGGTCGTCGTGTCCTTCGACAACACCATTGGGGTCGTCAAGACTGCGCAAGATATTCTTCGCATCTACGAGCGTGACTATTCCATCCAAATAAATTGTGCTTCCGAGTCCGTCGTCTACCCAGAAGAGGGGGGCTAGGTTTCCGGGGTCGGCTAAGCCAGTGGTTTCGAGGAGGATGTAGTCAAATGCACCTTTCTTTGACATGAGAGACTCTATCGCATTGACTCCTGTATCCCTAAATTCTGTTAGCACTGTAGGGGGTGGTTGCTATACATGCAAGACGTACTTTACGGAACAGCAGATACAGCCATTGCCAACTTCTAACCATTCTTCAACTTGCTCACCACCCTTGTTCACAGTAAGGGACTTTTCAATGTCGAGCGCTGCAGTACGACTTAGAAACGTAACGACAATCTCACAACCGAGCACTTACAGTCTCCAAATTCTATACTATGTTAGTGGCTGTTTCTAACAAATCGTGGTCCGTCCTAACCATTCATGATGACAGCGATCTTCTTGCCATGTTGAGCCGTAAGGATGTAATTTAGCAAAGTGGTTTTACCAGCACCGAGATATCCTATCAACTATTAGCGAATGAAATAAATGGTGGCTGGCAGTAATACCTGTCACAATTGTGATGGGAACCTTGACTGTAATCTCCTCATCCACGTCGTTGGTGGTTATATCAACCAGCTCTGGCGGGGCATCGTCATCAAAATCCATGACTGTTGTAGTTAACGTTTGGCCGTTTAGATCAGGCTTTTCTTTAAGTTCAAGAACGTTCGAGGAGTAATTCTAGCGGCCGGTAAATATCGGATTCTTTTCGTCGTGAGTTTAGACTCTTCTCGATCAATAAGAAGCACTCACAAAATATCTTGAAACCATGCATTCAGAAGCTCCGTGGTATAAGTTGCCCGGTCCCCCTTAGCTGCATGCGACGGGCATTTCTCTGTTATGCATATAGCGAATCCCCACCCTAGACCCCCTGGTGAGCCTAAGGTAGCCCTGCATAGTCTTCTGGGGGTCATAAACCGGCTGACGCTAGACCAGGGTGCCAAATTTAACTGGTCTAGAGACCTACTCGAATGCACTAAGATGGCCTAAGTCTTTTCGTCACTTGGAATAATGGTCCTGGGCTTTCTTGCCTCCCCTTGCCATGCCAGCCACTTGTCAACCCAGCGCAGCCTTGTGTGATATTAACCGCCCAGTTCTCCCCAGATCTTTTTCGCCCAACATCGCAAGTTTTTATTAGCAACGACCATAATTTTGCAAGCCATGTCTTTAGCACCGAGCTCCCCTAGGCTCCCAAGCCCTCCGCCAGCTGCAGAGATTCAAATGGCACCTATGTCTCCTTCTGGCGGTCCTGCAGCCAGTCTTCATACGACACCCCAGGAGCAATCGCAGCTTGAAGCCAGCTCTAGACGGCGGATACACCCAGGAACAAAAGCAGCAGATATGGCTGCTGGACCTCCTTTGATACCGCTACAAGAGGTACCTTGTTTGCGCCGTCATCATAATATGTGTGAGCCTTGAAGCTAACATGATCCAGCTCGACTCTGCATTTCAACTCCAAGAACACCTAGCCGCCCTCCACTGCTACCATACTTCCTCCAACACCCAGCCAATCACCCGTGGCACCGCGCTACAGCTTGCGACACCTCCCAATGGCGTCGACCGGACCATCTGGCTCTATGAGCTCTGCCGCTTCCTCATCTCGCAGTGCAACTCCTTGATCGTTGGCTTCCTCTTCGACACCCCGCCATGCAGTGCGAGCACGTGCCCTGAAATGCGCGCTTCCGAATGGCAGTTCCTCTGCGCTGTCCACGAGCAGCCCAAGAGCTGCTGCGCCATCGACTACTGCTGTCACACCCTGGACTGGGCTGCAAACGTTGTGACCGACCAGAAGATCTTCCCAAGCCGCTTTGTCGTCCATAATGACAACCACAGTAAGAATGTGGGCGTCAAGAATCTCGTCAATGTGTTCCGCAGGTTGCATCGCATATTCGCCCATGCCTGGTTTCAGCATCGTGGTGTGTTTTGGTCTGTAGAAGCCGAGACAGGACTGTACGTCCTGTTTAAGACTGTGTGCGACTTGTATGATCTGCTGCCTGCTGAGAACTACAAGTTGCCTCCCGAGGCGGAGGGACTCGAGGCACCCCATACTGAACAGGAGCCCGAGAAACCCCCTCCCACCATCCTCAAGCCTTCATCGCATCAACGAGGCCCTCCTGCCGAAGAAGACAACATGCATCCAACAAGGACAAATACTCGACGACACATTCGAAGTAGTCCTTCAACGGGAAGTGCTGTGACAACTGTCATTGAAGCCGAGGAGGAGGAACCCGCTGGAGTCTCCAGGAAACTAAAGGATATGCACCTGACCGCTCCCTCGCCCGTGGAGGAGGAGCCAGAAGTGGCCGATGTCCCTGTTATTGTTGAGCAATCAGTCGTGGGAGAATCCGGGGCACAGTCCCACAATCCCCCAGCTGAGAAGGCAGAAGATGATGATGATGATGACGATGAAGATGAAGAAATTGACGATGATGCCGACCAGACAGTCGTCGGGTCTGTTTCAGAACAAGACTCTGCAAACGATGATGACACTCAAACGGATGAACATAAGCCGGCCGCGGACTCTGTCGAGTCTGCGCAATTTACAGATACGGGCGTTGCAGAGGACGAGCCGACAAAGGAAAACGCATCTGCAGACTCAGCACCAGATGCGGATGCCCCTGAATCTCCAGAGGCCAAGGACAAGTCCTCAGAGGATGCGGCAAAGACCACAGATACCAAGTTAGAGGACGAAACCAAAAAGGATGAGAAGTAATAGACGGATCAAGGCGATATCCATTTGATTTCATATCTTGTCTTTCAGGATATGGTAGTATAGCATGGCAGAGTTACCTGCCCACTGTATAATAACACAATTGACCACACAATCATCCTCAGTAGTCAATACATAACCAACCTGACGGTGGTACTGGTACCGTCAAAATGCCTGTTGAAACACACAATCTTCCAATAACTCCTTCACGTGCCAGCATCATGGCTGTAAATGCGTTTTATCTACCCTACCACGCCTAAAGATTCCTTGCTCTATTCTTGCGTGTGTAACCCCGAAACAGACCACGAAGTTTCCTTCTGGCCAAGGAAAAGAAGTGTCGTAACTGGTTGCCTGCCTCGAAATCTTGTACCTGCTAGAGAAACAACAATCTCGAAAATCTGCCCACAAAGGTGAATTGGACGGTAGAAGAAAAATAGGGGGATAATCTAAATAATCATGAGTTTGTGTTGCAATTTCTGTCCACTTGCGTGGTTCGGGATAGATCCCAGCCCCTGAATACATTCATCGCTTCGCACCGGATGAATCAATACTGGGGCCTGAAGCAGAGTCTGGACTAGAGTTTGACGGGGCATTTGCATCGTCCATCAATGACATCTTGGCGAAAATATGTCGAACCTCACGAACACTTTCTTGCTGGGCTGTGACAGCTGCAGCGTTCCGTTCATCCGCAAAATTACGGATTTCCTGTAATACTGGGCTGAATCCTTCTTCGTTTGGCAGCCACCAGTTTACGCAGTCGGGTTCTCGGAATAACTCTGCCATTTTTGTACGTAGCGGAAGAGGATGAATATACCTACTCAATAATTAGTAATAATTCGGTTTATGACCCTTCGACTGGAGGATGTAGACGAGTTTTGTTCTTACCCCATAGTCTCTAGTAAAGCAAACTTCCGGCGAAACCACATGTGATGCCTCGCATCCTGAGGGCAGAAAAGAGCCGCAATAGCAATACATGCTTGTATCAGAACCAAAACGCCTCTTGGAGTTGAAGGCCAGAACTCCAATGTTTCAAAATATTGGCATGTCCTATAGGCATGGCGGTTTAGATCCGCAAACAGTTGGTCCGGTCTCATTCCTGATGATTGGCATTTGTGCATTATCATGATGCTATTCCATTCTGCGCATAGAACTGTGACGTCGAACAGGGGGAAATCGTAAAGTATTCCAACCGTATAGGGATTGACAAAGTCGTCCGGGTCGAGAGTTTCTGCCGGAGGAAAATCCTTGATAAGATATTTGGGATCCTGCAGGGCGGGGTCGCGTTTCTCCTTCCACTCTATGAGCTGTTGGTTCAAGACTTCATGCTCTTTCACAAAGTCCTCCTGGGATATCTGCCCTCTACTACCTCGGGCGAACAAAATCGACATGTCGTAAGAGATCAGGCGAAGCCGTGCGGACCACGCATCGATTTTCCAATGTAACTCATCTGGGTTCGACGTAATCCCGGATTGATAAAAGTCCAACATCGCTTGAAACCATTCGCGCGGCAGATCGGTAGGGAATCCTCCCATGAGGGCAACGAAGTTATCGAATCGCGCGTACCAGCTGAGGCACATGCGGCCAACGGGCGTCTGCATCACTGTCTGGGGGGTGAATATACTCGTTATTATTTCGAAAGCTGCTTTTTGGTGTCCCATTAGATTGACCCAGTCGCCAAAATACTCCTAAGCAGTATAGTTAGAATATGAACGCTAGGTGGCGAGAAAGGATTGAAAAATACCTCGATAGTGGCAAGCTGCAGAATAGTGAGAAGAGTAGCAACGTTAGGCTTTTCTCGTCTCTTAAACAAGCCCAAGAGCTGCGTTACGCTCTTATTGTAATACTGTAAGAAGTCCTGGAGCTTTCCCTGTGGGTTTCGAAGAGTAATATGGTATGCAGAGAAGCCTACGAGCGCGTTGAGCAAGGGCTCGTGGCGAGTGGCCATATTCGGAAGAATCTTTGTAAAAAAGCCATCCGAGTCCAGGGGTATACAATAATTGAAATGGTTGAGGTTTTCCACGAAAAAGGAGAGGCCTTGTTGGTACTCCGGTGGTAGATGTGACCAGTCGGCTTCGCCTGTCTGTATAGGAAACTCGGAGGAGGAATAGACAGCTGCAAGGCTACTTGGTGTTGCTGTTGCGGTCGATGGCGAGACACTTTTTGACTGTCTGGAGAGTACCGAAGACTTGGTTTGGTCTTCAGTATCTTCTTCTTGGTCCACAATCATTTCTAATTTACCCTCTTGTTCGATGTCCTCGTCATCCTCTGATTTGGACGAAGTTGGACTGGTTTGTTGAGCAGAAGTTGCAGTATCTTTGGATTTGCCGCTCGAGGCTGAGGATCCTTTTGATGACGGGGGGTCCGGGTAGACACATTCTCTATTTCCCTTCTTGCAACCTTGAGACTGTTAGCATTTCCATCTTCAAATCAACAAGTCCCTGCAAGACTACACGCACGTTCACATATTGGTCTGGTTTCGTCGCACTGGGAAAGTTAGGTATGCTTCCTACTCGGTCCTCAGTTACATACCTTAACTCTCCTACTGCGGCACATGAAGCAGCCTGATCGTGTTCTTCGATGCTTGACATGATCAACTGCTGCAGGGGTACCAGCCGCAGACTTTCTGCGAGCTTTCTGCGACTTGTTCTGATTGAACATCATGGGATCTGGAAACCCGGTAAAATATCCAAGTTGCTGATACGGACCGGGTAACGGCGCAGATACCATCGGCATCGGTGCTCCATGCATTCGAGGGTCGAGCATCTCCTCCGAGGATGTCGCGGGATTCATCCCTGCCCCGGACATCGAAGACAGGAAGTGATGGTAGTAGTCTCCCATTGTGACTAGTCGATTAATGCGATATTGAGTGACTCGATGCTTCAGTGGTGTTGAAGTAGGA